AGTCCGGGTACTGAGGGTTGTTTAAAATACTCAAACACTTTATCGTTGAAAGGAAACAATCTGCAGACATTTATAAAATTGAATAAAAATAAGAATAGATTCATTGTTGGGATGGGAAGAAAAAGGGATCACAAATGCAATTAACAAGAAGGGCTGAGTTCCCTTCCTGGTGCGGATCTTGGTAAGAAAATATCTTCATGATCAGCACCTTTCCTCTTAGAGGAGCATTGTTACCATAGCAACAAGAAATGAAATGTTTCACTTTTCTAAGCACTAACGATGCAACATTTACTTGTTTAAAAATACATCAAGAGGTCACAAAGACATTGCAGGTACATGATAGTATTAATACAGGTTAACTCTCTCAACCTATCTCGTGCTCTCTATTCTCCATTACTGTCCCTCATTCTCTTACCATCCACATTCAGACTCAATGCTAATCCTTACACACTCGTCCTCCATTTACCCACCCATCAGTCATTGCCGCAGAACCATCGCAAAGGAACGTGATGGGTGAACCTACTGAGTGGGCAGTTTGGGCAAATGTGGGGTCATTGAGTCATACATCACAGAAATAGACCCTTCGGTCCAACTCATCCTTGCTGACCAATTTTTCCAACTAAACTATTTCCATTTGGCCCATATCCTTCTAAACATTTCTTGTATCTTGGATCCAAGATCTATAAATTACAATATTTTGTAAATGGTGAGAGGCTAGGATACATTAACATAAGGACCCAAGGATTAGGAACAGGAATAGACCATTTGAGCCTGTTCCACTATTCATTATGACCATGGCTGACTCGATGCTCATGTTCCTTTCAGTGTAGCATGTTGAGTGTTTTTCTCATTCAAATACTCAGGGAATTTAATAGGGAACGCAGCAACTATTTCTTTTGGTATAGAATTCAAGAACAAGGGCTATCATCTGAACATTGGAAATAGGCTTCTCGGGAGTGAAATCAGGAACACGAAACATCGTAAAACTCTTTCCTGTAAGACTGTGGGTTGAAGAGGGTGATTGGTTTTACCAAGGCTGAGATATTCGATTATCGTTAAACAAAGGTGTCAAGGGATATATCATCAATGTTTACCACTAGTGCAAACAACATAGCCTGAAATAGCAAGAGCACTTAATATGATAGTATAAACATTTCTGGAATTGACTGAAGGTATCTGCCTGACATGTTAAGCATTAACCATGTAAGTGGAGGAATGAAAATTGAAAGATAGTAGGTGGAAATGTGGATGTGAGGTTACAAGCAGAACAGCCATGATTATGTTAAATGGGGAGCAGGGTTGAGGGGCTGAACGGCCACCTCCTGTTCGTTGTTTATATGTTGTGCAGGTGCCTGCTCGATTTTAAAGTTGAAAAATACGTGATCTAAATGTTTTGACAGCCATGTTGATCTTGCGACATGGATCGAACCTTGATCACAAGGATAAACCATTCTGTAATCAAAAACACATCTCAGCCTCTGGATGAGGGGGTGACTATTTTGGTCTGATTCGAGGGTAAGTGACTTCAGTGTGAGGCGTTGAGCTTGACTGAGCCTATTTGTGAAGCATATACAGAAACTCTGAAGGAGCTTCTTCATTTCTCCTCACAGAGCTTGCTGCACCATTCAAATACACCTAGCCCCTTTCTGAGTTGACACGTCTTTAAACATACTTTAATCCAACTACCTAATGACTTCCCAACACCTGTTTTCCTTATTCAATATGTAATTCAAAGGAATTCAGTATCCTATGGACAAAATTAGATTCTAATATGAGGGTTGTCGATGCTCCATTGTGGAGTATACTTAAATCTAAGGTTGAACCATTTTTCTTTTCTCAGGAAATCAAGTGGCGTTGTGGGCGGGGATGATGGGGGAGGTGGGAAGGTGGAATTGAGGCAGGAGATCAGCCATATCCTTTTTTGGACAGTGCAGCAGGTTCAAGAAGCATTATGGTCTATCCCAGCTTCTACTTAACGTTCTTAAGGAATCCAGTAATTGAGGAGCCATCAACACAGTACCACTCTCCCTACCTGCCTCTCTGCTTTTGTAAATTTAAACAGTTTTGTACCCAATAAGCTTTGACATCAGTTAAAAAGGCATGGAAGGGCATGAGGTGGAAAATCTTCCAGACTTGGTACCCCTATGTCCACAGCCTCTTGATATTACTGGGAGGTGGAGGCTTTGTTGCCTTATGGTGCACGTGTTGTAATGTCTAAACATAAAGATGGTACTTACAGCCACACTGATTCACGTAGGGTACCTCCCTGAGTTCAGTATTTCAAGCTGATCAAAACATTACCAATTTAGATACTCGTAACAAACTGCAACTTTTTGTCCATTTCTCGCCAACAGGCACAGCAATGAGGTTAAATCACAATTCCAAATAATGAGAATATAACTCAACGTGTGCTTCTACATTAATTTCAGTTAATAAACTGCCTTCCTCGCCAGCTAACTCCTTTCCCATTGGGCTAAGGAGGCCAGTATAACTATTTACAAATAGACAATTTTTTCACAAGATTAATTTTGTATCTGTTTGTGGGATGCAGGCATTGCAGGCTAGGGCAGCATTTATAGTCCATCTCTAATTGTCTTTGAGAAGGCGTCGTTCTTGAACCCACGTTAAAGTGAACACACCTCCATGATACCTAAGAGACAGTTTGGAACTGCTAATCTTTAATTTGTTTCCCTCAGTGACTTTACATTCAAACTAGCCAGGGCAGAAGGGTTATTCATACTTCCAAATATTCAGTGATCAATACTTTTAACATTGACTCATCCTTCCGTACTGAACAAAGGCTAATAATACTACAATCTTGGGAACATCAATAACGATGTTGCAATCAAATGTTCAAATTAGTCTTGAGACTCAGTATGATCTTTGACTAACCTTTTCCTCACAACTGGGATCATGCAAGTGCCACACTGGGATGGTATCTACAGGACTTCTCCACTTATTTCATAAAATGTACTCAATGGGGTCATGGCCTTGCAAGTGCACGGCAGAAAGAGAACGGCCATGGCTGGAGGAATGGATGGATAAACTTCATAGGATGTTTACAGAATATGGAGTTTAATCTGGGCAAGTGTGAGGTGTTGCACTTTGGGAGATCAAACGTTATGGCAGGACCTTAACAGTATTGATGATCTTGGGATCCTAGTCAAAGCTCCTTGAAAGGGGCCACATAAGTAGATAGGATGGTAAAGAAATGTATGGCATGCTTGCCTTTACTGGTTGGGGCATTGAGTACAAGAGTTGGGAAGTGATGTTGCAGCTTTATAAAACTTTGGTAGGCTGCACTTACAGTATTGCATTCAATTCTGGTTGCCACACTTCAGGAAGGATGTGGAGGCTCTGGAGAGGGTGCAAAAGAGGTTTACCAGGATGCTGCCTAGATTAGAGGGTATCAGCTATAAGGAGAGGCTGGACAAATTAGGGCTGAGGGGAGACCTATAAAATTATGAGGGGCATAGATAGGGTGGACAGTTAGAATCTTTTTTGCAGAGTTGAAATGTCTAATACTAGAAGACATGCATTTAAGATAAGACAGGGAAAGTTCAGAGGAGACGTGAGGGGCAAGTTTTTTTACAAAGAGAGTGGTGGGTGGCTGGAAAGCATTGCCAGGAGTAGTTGTGGAGGCAGGTACGATAGGGGCATTTAGGGGGCTTTAGATAAACACATGAATAAGCAAGGAATGGAGGGATATGGACCATGGGCAGGCAGAAGGGATTAGTTTAACTTGGTGTAATGTTCAGCACAACGTGGTGGGCCAAAAGGCCTGTTTCTTTGCTGTACTGTTCTATGTTCTAATAGAAGACACACATGATCAAGTTGGCTTTCTGCGAGAACAACGCAGCTAACCCCAGTCGCTGAGCTTTTCTGCCTAGCTCTGCAAATATTTCTGTTTTAGGTAATGATTTAATTCCTTTTCGAAGGCCATGTTTGGACCTGCCTCCACCCTACTCCCCAGGTAGCGTATTCCAAATCCAAACCATTCATTATGAGAAAAAGTGTTTTCTTGGTCACTGTTACTTCTTTTGTCAATCGCCATGAAGGGATATTTAACAGGTTGCAGAATGCACTGTTCTTTCTGCAATGAACAGTTTGTGCACAAAGATTGTTCAATGTGTGGCTATGAAATAGCCAACTTAATTAGGAGACTGACTCCACTTCACTCACAGGAACTGTCCACGACTGCCCAAGATGAGCTTCTGAATGCATAACCTTTTCAACATCAGAACTATTTCCTTTCTATAACTTTATCCAACTCGACCCCTGACCCAGCTCATCACTGCTCAGACGCTCATCCATCCCTTTGTAACCTTGGCTGTTCTGTCACGCCCCTGGTCAACCTTGCATTTTCCACCTTCCAACAACTTCAGCCCATTCAAAAACCTGCTGCCTGCATCTGAACTTGCACTGAATACATTTCAGATATTCACCCGCCTTCAGTGACTACATCACCTCTTGGTTTGACAAAGTCAGCATTCTGAAATTTTTTAAATCCCTCTATAGCCTCATTTGTTCCAATATCTGTAACCTCCCACGGCCCCACAACCCCTCCAAGATATCTGCACGTCTTTAAATCTGGCCTTTTGAACTTTCTCGATTTAGACCCACCATTGGTGGTTATGCCTTCTGTTCCATGCACGCTACGCTCTGCAATTTCCTCCTTACACCTCTCAATCTCTCTATCTTTATCTCTCTTCCTTTAAAACATTCCATTAAAAACTACTTGTGACCAAGCTTTTCATCATTTTTGCATGGCTCAGGGTCATTTTTTTTTCTTGTAGTGCTCCAGTGAAGTGCCTTGGAGATGTTTTACTGTGCTAAAGGTGCTACCAAATCCATGTTATGGTTGTTTGTTAACTGTTGAGAGAATTCTCACTTCCCTGAAGCAGTATTGAGGATGAAGTAGCTACAAAGCAAAGCAGCTCAGGATGAAAGTCGCTTCTTGCTGTTGTAAGAAATATTGTACTTTCCTTCTTCCCCAACAGAAAATGGAGCTGCTGTCAACGCCACACAACATCAAAATCACCAACATTACCTGTGACTCTTTCAAGATCTGCTGGGACACTGATGTGAAAGACAGGGAGCGCATTACACATTACTTTGTTGACCTCAACAAGAAAGAAAATAAGGATTCCAACAAATTCAAGCACAGGGTAAGCTTATTCCAGAGTTTCAGGCAGGCAGCTTACACTAATTACTAATCACTTCTGTGGTTACAGAGTGTAATTTGTTTAATGTTAAATTTAGGTTTGATAATGCAGCTGCTCTAGAAATAGCATCTGATAGGCTGTTACATCCCAATGCTAACACTAATATTTGAGTTTATTTCAGATAATTACACAGAAGCTAATACTGGAAGGCTAGAAACTGAAAAGCTTGGGCTGCTTCTTTGAATTCTGTGTAATTGTCTTCAGTGAAAATAAACTCAACGAATAGTGTTAACCTGAATTTGGCAAATTGAGAGCATCTATCTAAACGGGTACAGCTCACAGGTTGTTCGTGGTCTAATTAAATTTTGAACTCTGATCGCAACAGAAATGAATGACTTCTCTCATCCATATCCATCTTATGAGTTTGTGATAACCCTTCTGGGCTAAGTAGGACATGATGCTTTCCCCACATCAGCAACATTTAAAAGCAAACAGGAACTGTCCCTACTAATGGAACTCAAGGTAACCAAAGGCAACATTGGAAAAGAATAAGGATATAGATTCTAGCTGACCCAGGTGGCTGCAGCGGGAACAGTTTACTGATGAAAAGGCAGCTAAAAGATCTCAACAGCTGACTGAAGCAAGTAAAACATTTAGATTGAAATCTTATTTCCAAATATGACCAAAATAGCAGCTGTTACCAGAGAGGACTTCAGTGAGACAAAATTATCTTATGGAAGCGAGGGAGAGAGACACACACACAGAGAAACAGAAACTGAGACAGAGGAAAAGAGAGGCTGAGAGTCACCGAAAGATCAAAAAGAGAGAGGCAGAGACACAGAAAGACGGAATGATGGAAACAGAAACAGGGAGAGAGAGAGGGAGAGAGGAGGGGTGCACTAAGAAATGGACAAAATAAGAAAAAAGTAGACAGAAAAACAGATGAAGACTGAGAGAAACAGATTGACAGCGACAATATAGAGGCAAGGAGAAAGACACACATAAAGGAAGAGGCAGAAGGAGACAGGGAGAAAAAGACAGGATAGAAATGGTGACAGCTAGAGATGGAGAATGAGAGAGTACAAATAATATGGGCACAAATGGTTCTAACAGTCTCCATCTATACTAAATCCTTGTTGCAGTGAAGGCTGCCCAGGGTGAGACTGCACATTTTGTTGCAGATCTGGTTTAGTCTTGCTCTGGTCACTCTTCCTCAGTACAACGACTCAGAAACATAGTGAGGAGAAGGATTTATGAATGCACCCCCTTCTATCCACTTACATAATGACCTACTGTGCTGAAGGTGTGGACTCATACTGGGTCAAGCTGTACAAACCAGTACTGCCATGCCATTTCTGGAAGGACAGTAAGAACCTTTAGGCAGAAACCTGCAGATGGGAGAATGTAGCCAAGTGCCATGAGCTTGGCACGTTTCCAGAATGTGTTATTAACACCTGAAGATTTTCACTTCCCCACTGAGAGCCATATGGCTGATAGAGATGAAGAGAGAGAGAGAGGGTGTAGAAACCAAGATTCTGCTTCACACAGCAGCAAGTTGTAGCTGAGCCAGCCAAGGTTGGAGAGCTGGCGAAGATTGAGTCGTATGACAGAGAAACATTGCTTGTTCCTCTCTCCTCCAGCTGAGGCTACACCTGCTGAATGTGAAGAAGACTGTTTCATAATTTGAGCAGGGCTCAGAGATTCCCATCCCTCCACCTCATTCTCTCTGACTTGTAGACAGTACGTGTGGGCTATAAAACAATTAATCACAGTTGATCAGAAGCTACCCCCAGGGGACATTGCTGCTATTACACATTACTTATTGTAATGTTTTGGAATGAAAGCCATCAGCTCCTGTCTAATTGCACTGGCATTCTCCCACTTTGCAGCTCACTCAAACCCCCGCAATGGAGCCATCATTTGCACTCTGGGGGCGTCTGACTGACACAGATTGATTTTTTTACATAATCAGCCACGATTCACATGGGATGTTTTCTCTAACCAGCTTGACACAGGTGATGTGTCTGCAGCTCACTCTAAGGTATCTGTTATTCTCTTTATAAACAACCCGAAACCCTCAATTAGTTTCTAGTCTATAACTCATTCTTGGGCATCTGTTTTTCTATATATAAACAACCCGAACCCCTCAATTAGTTTCCAGTCTGTATCTCACTCCTGGGTATCTTATTATATACAGAAACAGCCTGAAACCCCCAAATAGTTTCCAGTCTGTAATGCACGCTAGGGTATTTGTTATTCTTTCGATAAACAACCTGAACCCCTGAATTACTTTCCAATCTGTAAGTCACTCTCGGGTAACTGTTATTCTATATATAAACAACCCAAAATCCTCAATTCCAGTCATTAACTCACTCCCGGGTATCTGTTATTCTATAACTAAACATCCGGTAACCCTCAATTAGATTCCAGTCTGTAATTCACTCTCGGGTATCTGTTATTCTATATATATACAAACCAAACCCCTCAATTAGTTTCCAGTCTGTAAATCACTCCCGGGTGTCTGTTATTCTATATGTAAACAACCCAAAAACTTTAATTAGTTTCCAGTCTGTAACTCACTCCCAGCTATCTGTTATTCTATATATAAACATCCTGAAACCCTCAATTAGACTCCAGTCTATAACTTGCTCTCGGTATCTGTTATTCTCTATGTAAACAACAATCCACAATTATAACAACCAACACCCAAGTATTTGTTATTCTATGTATAAACCACCCCAAACTCCTTAACTAGATTCTAGCCTGAAACTCACAACCAGGTGTCCGTTATTCTATATGTAAACCACTCCAAAGCCCCTGATTAGATTCCCTTCTGTAACTCACTCCCGTATATCTGTTTTTCTATATAAAGCTACACTGAACTCCCCCGATTAGATTCCAGTCCATATCTCATTCCAATACATGGATATCTGCTTTATATATTGAACACCGTGAACATCACAATTAGTTTCCAACTCTATCACTCGTTCCCAGGTATCTGTTATTCAATATATAAACCACACCAAACCCTCCACTAGATTTCAGTCTGTAACTCACTGCCAGGCACTGCTTATTCTATACATGAACCACACCAAACCACTCAATTTGAAACCAGTCTGTAATTCACTGTTGGGTACTTGTTATTTTAAGTGTAAACCACCTCAAACTCCTTAATTCAGTTCCAGCCTATAATCAATTCTCAGATATCTGTTATTATATATATATTCCACTCTGAATCCCTCAATCAGATTCCAGTTGGTCCTTCACTCTTCGTTATCTGTTATTCTATATATTAACAACTCTAAACGTCTATGAGATTCCAGTCTGTAACTCACTCCTGGGTATCTGTCATTCTACATATAAACCAACCAGAATCCTTTGATTTGTTTCCAATGTGCAACTCACTCCCTGGTATTGTTATTCTATATATAAACCATCCTGAAGTCCTAGATTAGATTCCTGTCTATAACTCACTCCTGTATATGGGTGAAGCGCAGACAAGTGGGACTAGTTTAGTTTGGGATTATGGTCAGCATGGACTGGTTGGATCAAAGGGTCTTTTTCCGTGCTGTATGACTCTGACTATTCAATATATAAACCACACCGAACCTTCAACCAGATTCCTGTCTGTACCTCATTGCTGGGTATCTGTTATTCTATGTATAAATCACCTCAACCCTTTGATTAGATTTAAGACTGTAACTCATAACTGGATATCTGAATTTGTACACATAAATAGCCCTAACATCTCAACTAGATTCTCGCTTGTAACTCATTACTGGATTTCTGTTATTCGAGATATAAAGTCTCTCCCGTCCACCCACGATTACATACCACTATACATACCATTTCCAACCTTGGGTATCTGTTATTGTATATACAGAACAATATGAACCTCATGATTAGTTTCCAAATCTGTAGCAAACTCCCAGGTATCTGGTATTCTACATTTAAACCACACTGAGCCCTCAACTAGATTCCTGTCTGTAACTCATTGCCAGATATCTGTTATTCTATGCATAAACCACCAGAGCCCCTCAATTCAAAACCAGTCTGTAATTTACAGCTGGGTACTTGTTATTCTAAATATAAATCACCTCAAACCCTCAATTCAGTTCCAGCTTATATTTAACTCCTGGGTTTCTGTTATTCTACATATAAACCACCACAAAACTCTAAATTAGATTTCAGTTGGTCCCTTAGTCTTGGTTATCTCATATTTTATATATTAACAACCCTAACTCTCAATTAGTTTCCAATCTATAACTCACTCTCGGGTATCTGTCATTCTATATACAAACCAACCAGAACCTCGCGATTCGTTTCCAATCTGTAACTCACTCCCAGGTATTATTATTCTAAATGCAAACCATCCAGAACCCCTGGATTAGATTCTTGTCTGTAACTCACACCTGGTTATCTGTTATTCCAAATTTAACTTGCCTGACTAGATTGCAGTTTGTAACTCACTCTTGGGTATCTGTTATTCTATAAATAAACCACCTGAACCCCTCAATTTGAATCCAGTCTGTCAATCACTCTCAGGTATCTGTTATTATCTCCATAAAATCACTTTGAACCCCTCGACTAGATTCCAGGCTGTAACTTACTCATGTGTATCTGTTATTTTATATATAAAACACCTTGAACCCCTCGACTAGATTCCAGGCTGTAACTCACTCCCATGTATCTGTTATTCAATATAGAAACCATCTAGAACCTCTCAATTATATCCCAGTCTGTATCTAACTCCTGGCTATGGATACATGACAGTTTGCACGAGCAGCAGTGTGCTGTTACACTGTACACATGCCCCTTGTGTTCCCTGTGTTGTCTTATCACAGGCAACATGACTTATACTGATGCATTTAATGTCCATATTTGAAAGCAAAGTGCTCTGCATCTTTATAAAATCTTGGCTTGTGAAAAAATACTGAGGTCTACGAAGAATATCAAAGCCTTGTCATTTCTGATGGTTAATTTGTTTTTTTTCCCTCCCCTCC